GGGGGGGGGGGCAGAGAACGAACGAAAAGATGGATGGAATATCCATGCTGAGTGTCTCTGCTGTGTGTGTGTGTGTGTGTTCACTTCATTCATTGTACCTGCTCTCTGTCTCTCTTGAGGTCGTGCAGCTTGTCCTGCAGCCTGGCCCTCTCCGCCTGCAGCTTGCGACCCTGATCCTCGTAGAACTTCGCGTTGTCACTGCACATCCACACACACACACACACACACACACATGCACCAGGGGATTGATTCTTTGTTTGGGTTTCGCGCACCCACCCACCGTTGGTACTCCAGGCTGCAGCTCTTGGCCTTGCGAACCGAATCGAGCTGCATAGCATACACACTTGTGTGTGTTGTGGTGTGTTGTGGTGTGTTGTGGCGTGGTGTGGTGACATACGTGTTGGAGTTCGTTGGCGATAGCGTTGATCTGTCCGTCGATCTCCGTCAGCTTGGCACTGCGGTTCTGCTCACGCTCAGACCCACCCTGACATTGACACAACACAACACATCAACACACACAAGAGGGCGGGGCGACGTGTGGGGTGTGGTGCAGGGGAGGAAGGGAGGAGTGCAGAAAGTGTGTGGTGTGTCCCGCTCGCTGGCTGACCTTGATCTTGTCTGTTTCCTTCTGCAGGTACTCGAGGACCAGCTGTCGGTGCTCCACCTCCACGCTGTCGCGCCACCGCTGGGCCGCCTCCTTCTGACACCGCTCGTACAAGGCATTGACAGCCGACACTATCAACGACCCACCCTGACAACACAATGAATGCATCACACACAGACACACACGCAGACACAGACACAGAGAAGGGATGATGTATGTGCACGACTAGGCTCTCTTGCTGATGGTTTTACTTACCACTTGGTCGTCGCTATTGCCCCTCTCCTGCCCCTGGAGGCGCTTCGCCAGTGCGGCCGCGATGGGCGGGGGCTTGTTGTCGAATTCCTGTGCGTCCTCGGCCACCAGCTGCCGGCCCTGCGCCACCGCGTCAGCCATCTTGCCCTCAAGCGCGGCCCACGCCTGACGCGACGCCCGCACCACCAGTGCCTGCATCCGGTCGCTCAGACCCAGCGCCGATATCCACTCCTCCCCCTGGGCTATGGAGGCCGCGGTGTCGTCCTTATCGTCCTCCTTGCTGTCTTTGTCTCTGTCTTTGTCCTTGCGCGGCGTCTGTGAGGCCCGCTTGCGTGCTTTGTCGGCCTGGTACTGGGAGAGCTTGAGCGACGCCTCGTAGTTGATGGCGCACTCCTGCGTGAATCTGGCCCATGACAGGGGCGGCGGAGGGGGCGAGGGCGGAGGAGGCGGCTCTCGCTCTTGCTGCTGCTCTTGCTGTTGGGATGGCTCCTTCTGAGAGGGTCGTCTGCCGCCAGTGCTGCGGCGGGGTGTGGGGGACTTCGCCCCCGCTCCCGCCCCTGCCCCGTCCCCGACCTCGGCCTCGGCCATGTGTTGGTCGGCCTGCTGGCGACGCTCAGACAGGCGAGGCGACCGACGGGCGCTCTCACGTCTCTCCATGTCTTCGTCCCTGACCTCCTCCTGGCGTTCACGCTGCTCCTCATCCATCTGCTCGTGCTCATGCTCATGCTCATGCCCGTGGTCGCATTGGTCGCATGGCCCCCGCCGCTGCTGCTGCTGCTGGTCTTCGTCGGTTGGCTGCACGAAATCCTCACCTCTGTGGAGGCGGTGGGCCGTGCAGCGCCACGAGGACGAGGGGCTGTTCTCGTGCGATCGGCCGGGGGAGCGGCCTTTGGGTGAGCGGGGAGGCGTCCTCGGCTGATGAAGCTCTGATAGGGGCGGGGACACGGCGGGCGAGCACTTGAGTATCAAGCCGTCGGGCTTGGTGACGATCTCCTCAGCCTCCTCGGGGATGGGCGACAGGCGGTGGCCGTGGCCGTCCTCATGCATCAGCGACTCCAGCCCTCTCCCCCCACCTCCCTCCACACCCTCACCCGCACCTGCACCCTCTGTCCCGCGCCGAGGCGACGACCCACGAGATGATTTCTTACGTCCGCGAGCGCCCTTCGATGGTGGTGGTGTGCCGTCGGCCGATTCTCCTCCTTCTTGCCTCTCGTCGGGGGGCAGCCCTGAGAGCCTACGCGATCGGCGGCGCGACGGCGTGTCGGAATCGACCGACTCGTTGTCATCGGATTGGTATGGGGGCGGCGGGGGGCGGGGGCTCTGGCGGGAAGAGCGCGGAGAGGGAGGCGACGGACGAGGGGACCTGGGGCGCCGGAACTCGTATGGGCTCTCCTCTGGTGTCGTCTCGTTCTCCTTCTTCTCGGGCACGCCATCCTCCTCCTCGACTTTCATCTCGTCGTCACGCACCTCCGAAGCCGCCGCGCCTCTCTGTTCGTCCTCCACGGCGATCGATGGCTGCTCGGCTGCAGCTACCGCCGCTGCTGGTGGGCTCTTGGGCGGCGCGCGGCTGAGTCGGATAGGCGGGGGTGAGTTGATCTGGTATGCGTTGCCCATGTCATCGTCTTCGTCTTGGCCCTGGTGGGTGGCCTGGGGGAGTGGCAAGGGAGCCATCGAGACGTCAGAGCGCTGAGCTGGTGACGGGAAAGGGTGTGGCTGGGCTGGGAGGGAAACGACGCTACGGGGGGCAGCAGCCGCCTGAAGAAACAAACAGCCGAACGAACGAACGGATAATGAAAATTAGTATGTCCCATTTCCGCCGTCCTCTTTGTTTCAGTATCTTGCCTGCATGGATTGGTTTCGTCTGAGGGTTCCCAGCCCCAGGCCGCGGCCGTCGTAGTCTGCCGGCTGCTCGTCGAAGGGCGACCGAGATGGCGTGCGATTGGCTAAACCCTGCGGACGGAACGGCTCAGATGCCTGACCACACACAGACACACGCACACGCATATAAGGGTGTCGTGTGCGGCAGGTCTCTGTGGTGGCTGGTGAAGCTTACGCGCTCGTGTCGTGGTATGGCAGCAACAGCAGGAGCCGCAGCTGCTGCAGCAGCAGCAGCCTCCGACACAACAGGGGATGGAGTCGTCAACAACTCAAGAGGGGGATACTGCACCACGCACACCGACACACGGACACAAGGACACTGATCCACCACACGCAACCTTTGATGTCGCCGCGCCTTCCTTACCGCGCCACTAACGCCACCACCCCCAGCAGCAGCAGCAGCAGCCGCCCCGGTGCTCTGCTCTCCTCTGCCACCAACACCGGGAGGAGGAGGGGGCACCACCACACCAACGCCAGGAAACGCACCACCACCAGTGCCACCCCCAACACCATAAGCAGCTCCGCTGCCTCCCGCCCCCATCTCTATCTCTCCCCCCTGCCCCCCGGCGCCCTCTCCATCTCCCTCGTCGGAGAGACCGAAATGGGGACTTGACACGCCGTCCTCTCGCTGCTTCTGCGGCGATGATAGACCGAACGAAGGCAGTCGTGACCCACCACGGGGGCTCACCAGACGCGCGCCGCTCTTCCCAGACCCGACAGTGGACGCCACTTTGACAGGGACCTTCGACTGCAGGGGGCCAGCCGCAGCCGCAGCCGCAGCCGCAGCGGCGGCGGCGGCGGCTGCACCAGTGTCCTCACAGCTGGGGGTCTCCTGTGCAGAGGCCGTCAGCAGTGGGTCCGGGCTGAGAGGGGTGGGGCCCGCCTGCTCCTGCCCTTGTCCCTGTCCTTGGCCTTGCTCACCTACGCCGATCTGTGGCGTGTCAGTGTCCATGGGGATGGGTGGCGAGTGGCCGCCGACGATGGCTTGGCCCTCTGCGGGAGGGGTGGCCTCTCCGCTGTGCAGGGGTGGTGGGGTGGCCATGGGGGGCGAGATGGGCGGCATCTCGGCGTCAGGGGCGAGCGACGGGCGCGCAGAGGGAACGTCGTTGGGAGCCAGGGAGGGCCGCCACGTCACGGGCTGGTCTTTCTGATGACATCAAGACGCACAAGGATACGTTTGTTTGTTCCACATTGCACGTGAGTGTGTCTGTCTGTCTGTCTGCCGGGTTGAGTCACTGACTCCTTGTGCCTGTTGCCATGCGTCATCGATGCCCTGCACCATGGGGTTGGGGAGCGACTCGCGGGGCACTCGCGGGTTCTGAGAGGTCGGACTGCGGTTCGGACTGCGACCCGTCCCCACCAACTCTACCAAACTGACAGACATCAATGAATGACACGCATAAGCGAGAAAGATCCATCCACACACTCACTAACCACGGCACGTGTGTGTGTGTATGTGACCTGGGGAAGTTGCCCTCCATTGCATCGCTGTCTCTACGGCCCCTGCCCTTGCTGCGCACGTTGTCCTCAGGAGTGTGTGTGGTGGCCTGGCCGCCCCGCCCCACGACCGTCGCAGGTCCGCCATCCCCGTACCCCATGGGGGTGTCATCCTCACCCTCATCGGCAACCGCCACACCTCTGACACACACCACCACCACCACCACCACACACCATCCCACAGGTGTGTGGATGTGCTATGTACATCCACACGTCATGGGGGGATGCATTCATCTCACCCGTTTTGGTTCAGGGCACTGGAGGACGATGCCGCTGGCGCAGCGGCTGCAGCTGCAGCAGCAGCGGCAGCAGCAGGCTGTGCGTCATCGGCTTTGCCCAGATGCACCTGAGAAACGGGCTGCTCGGCCATGTCCTCATAGTCCCTGAGTGACACAAAACCAAACGCCGTTGGCACCGTTTCGCATCTCCTCCTTCTCTGCCCTTCCCATCCCATTCGGCAAGTACTTACTCTCCGACTTCATATGTGGATGTCACTCCCCACTGCACCCGCTTGCTGGGCGAGGGATCCCCCTCCTGCCGGGGAGACCTCAGGCACGACGGACCGGGCTCACGCTGCCGGCGGGGGGATACATCTGCGAGGCTGCGCCGGGGAGATGCGTCACGACGGGGGCTGAAACGACCCACAAAAACCATTCGATTCATCGGTTGGGCCTTAGTGTTGTTTGTTTGTACCCGGCGTCTGGTTTAGCGTTCTGCAGGCGAGCGGCAGCGGTGCCTCGTCGGGTGGCGTGGACCGGCTTGGCAGCTGCAGCAGGCTGGGCAGCACCGCTCGACGAATCCCCCTGACCATCCTGACAACACATGACATGAGTGCATGATGGGCGGTTGGATGCATATGTATACGTGCGTACCTGCGGCTCAAGTGAAGGGTACACCGACTTGGAACGCTGCGATTTCATCCTCTCCTCCTCCACATGCTCATGACACGTCAGATCGAATGACGTCTGCCGGTTGTCCCTTCATCGAATGAACACCTCACAGCACGATGGACGCCAGCTGGCGCAACGCTAAAGGAAGGAAAAGGCGACACTTTCTGAAACTTTGGGTTTCGAGGAAGCTCGCATTGGCAGGTCTGTGTCGGCCCTTCTCGGCAGCATACGCACAGGATGGACACTGCAGCATTCCCATCTGCAGCACCAAACTCGCTGGCAAAGGAGATCTCGCGCAGTGGAGATATCGCACGGTGCGCACGTATCTCCACGTGTACAGGGTTCAGCTGCTCACACGTGTGCGTGTGTGTGTGTGTGCGTGTCAGTGTGTGAAGCGTGAGGCGTTCGATCAGGGCGGTGGAAAAGACAACCATGTGCCCCAAATGCAGCCAGGTAGCCCGGCCCTGAAGCACCAGCTGCTGACACTTATCCTGTGGATTATGTATTCTGCCCTGTCTGCGTGTGTGCGTGTGTGGTGGGTGCAGCTGTGCGTGCTCATCGAGCGCATCCCGAAGGCCTCTGGGTCGCTGGTGGCCGATCCCTTCGGCGGCCCGCTCCGCGACGTGACGGTCCACCAGGCTGACGCGCAGGGCGGCTTCACCATGGCTGACTCGACGTGGAAGGCCTCCTACTACTCCGCCACGATCAAGGACCACTGCCTCCCCATGATCGCCACGCAGTCCATCAAGTCGTCACCATGGTGGGTCAACACAGATACTCCGCAAGGGGCTGGCTGCTCAGGTGTGGCCGAAAGTGATGACTGCCCATGAGAGGATCGAGGACGCTCTTAGGGCCCTGAAATGAGATGCAGGTCAGCGGACTGTATTGTAGGCGTCATAGCCAATGGTAGGTGGGTGTCATGTGTTTGTTCAGAGGCGAAGGCATTTCGTGCACTCATTCGCAGCTGCGACATCCTACTCGACGCCTGCCGACAGCGGCTGGGCCCGTGGGTGAGCTGAGTGAGACGCGTGAAGGTGTGCCTCAGCGCACTCATTGCCCGTGTCTGTGTGGATGACGTAGGACTGATGGGGGGAACCTGTCTGTCGGCAACAAGGTGTGGGTATTCGGTCTCGTCAACGGCCCCGAGTACAACGGGCTGTCGGGTTGGCTGACAGCCCGGCAACAACACAAACAAAATACGGTGAGCTACTGCGGCAGATAATGTCATCACGTGTGCGTGTAGGTCCACCCATCCGTGTGTGTGCTGTGCATGCGTGCAGGTATGGCGTGACGTTGTCTGTGGGTGGTGTGGTGAGATCTTTCGCTCGGAGTAGCCTCCGCCTCGCGGATCAGCTGCCGATCGATGACGACAAGCTTATCACGATCATGAACCTACTTATGCCTGGCATGAATATCGCGATGAGCTGACAGACCAGACAGGCAGAGGGAGAGAGGGTGGAGGGATAGGTACGTTACACACACTTGCGCTGGCCGACGAACTGACTGTATAGCCTTTCTTGCTTCTCTGTATACCTACTGATGTGGCGGGCGAGACCTCGCAATGGCCACGTGGCGCGTGAGGCTGTAGGAGATAAAGGGCCTTTGTACATACTTTGCCGTGTGCGGTGCCATGCCTTCCTTCTCTCTCTCCCTCTCTCTCTCTCTCTCTCTGTCTGCGCCACTCTGTGCCACGAGTCTCCCCGTGAATCACTTATGTGGCTTAGGTAGCTTTCTTGCGCGCGCCGCGTGCGGCCATAACAACAGACAGACGACACTCGTCGCCCTCGGCCATCGGTTTTTCTGAGCGGTGCGTGCCGTAGGGCGCTTCCCTCTCTCTCTCCATGTCTTTTCCTCCCTCGCGTGTCACCATCGCATGTGCGTGCATGTCGTGGCGGAGAGAGCGGGGCAGGGCTGCATTCCTTCATCACACGCGCCGCGTGAGTGAATGTTCAGACTGAAAAATGGTGAGCATGTCGTGTGTCCGGAAGACGCATTTGATGTCCATACATGATTCGAATGAATCCACATATCACTCACGCACGCCGCCGCATCCGAAAATAAACCAAAATCACTCCACACCTATGGCCCAGCTACTGGTGACAGACACAGATCATCAGCTAACCCGAATGTCTCTCGTCCACCCCATCCCCCCGTATGCATGCATTCATGTCTCACTGAGACTTCTTCTTGCACACCAGTACAACAGAGACGTACTGAAAGCTCCAATCCACTGCGCCTTCATTTCCTGCATAACGAGTCATGGGTGCTCGAACCACAGCGTTATAGCCAAGGTGGTCGCGAAGGCCGGGAATGCGTTGCTCGCCTGGTGGACCAACTCGGTAGATAAAGCTCGTCTCTGGCGGTAGCTTGCTGGGGCCTCTCAGAAAGCCGTAAAGATTGAGCCCCGGTCCCCCTTCGCCCTCCATGTCCCACTCGTCTACAATCGAGGGGTTTGTCAGCAGCTCCCCTATCTCTGGCAGATAATATTTGGCGTCGATCTCCCGGTAGTGAGTCAAATTTTTGGCAAACTCCTCCTCATCTCGCTCCTCTTCACCCTCGCCGCGATCTTGATAGTATTCAGCAACCTTCTTCATGTCCTCTGTCACGGACTTGTTGACGACTCTGAACTCGGGGTCGCCATCCCAGTCCATGTAGGCGCTCAGCAGGGTGGTGTGGCAGTCGAAGTGCTGAGAGAGCAGCTGGTAGAGTGCGCTGTCGACGCCTTTGAGGTGAGCTGGCGTCATGCTGGACAGGGTATAGTCGTGCGATAGCTGGAACACCCAGGACTGGTTGGCCTGAAGAGAACAGAGACACATCGAGCAATGCATAGGCCATACACATGAGAAGGAGCGGATGACGACCGTCCGTCTATGTACCTGGGGAGAGTCGAAGTGCTCCTTCATGCCATCCACCAGCCGCTGCAATGGGGGCGCCAGCGGGCCGTCCTTCGTGAACCTCTCCCCGGTCTCGTGACGGCGCAAGTTGTAGGCGAGCGCGAGGCGATATCCCGACACAACAGGCTTGACGCTGTGGACAATGTCGGAGTAGAAAGCGATCCATCGGGCTTGCTGGTGCCCGAGGGCGTCTTGCGTCTCCTTGTTGAATCTGTCGCCATCGAAGTCCCCATCATCGTGCAGCAAGAAGTCGCCTCCAGTATACTCGGTGGGCAGGAAGACCAGCAGAGAGGCGAAGTGGTCGTTCGAGCGCTGCGTGTCCTTGTGCACCTCAAAGAAGTCTCCTTCGCCGTAGAGCAGCATCCTGTACCAATCGGCCTGCACACGGCTGGTGGGCCCCGACATCTCTTCCTCCACCTGCCGGCAGATGCCCTCGATCACCCTGGTCCAGTTGCCAGCCTGGCTCTTGAGCGCGACGAGTCCTCCCGCCACCTCCCGCGACTTGCGTGCCTCCAGATCCATGACCGTGTCCATGCCCTTGCCCACGGGAGACTGAGCAACTGCTCTTCGTACAGCGCCTTCAGTGCAGACGACTGCATGCAAAAACACACACAGACGGAGTCATCAGCACGTGCCACGAGATGCTGTGTTTTCTGCCTATCATGCTTGCCGAGAAGGGGGCGTCTGTCATCGTCTCACATCTCGGTTCCAACGTCCATGAGGGCCCGTGGATGGACGGCAGGAGGTCCAGGGTGCCCGAGAGGAACGGCTTGGGGCTCTCATGCTCCTTTAGGTACCTCACAGCGTCGCCAACGGCCGTCCACGCCTCCTCCTTCGTGAGCTGCCTCATTGCCAGACCAGATCTGAGGTGAGGCCTCACGCGCGACACTCCCTGCTTCGGTGAGGGGAAGCCTTGGTGCTGACGAAGCTTGCGCGACAGCCAAGAGGACGAGGGTAGGAACGCACCATTGACGTCGACGACGGGACAAAGCGAAGCCAGGGTAAGGACAACAAAGATCTGACTCATCATCGCGAGACGGTAAGATGAGCTCATCCACAGGACATCCGAAGGGATAGACGTGGACGTTTCGCTGGCAGAACGGGGCATAAAGACTCGCCGATCGCGAGCTTAGCTCGCAACAGGAGAGGGAAGAGAAGAGGGAAAGGGGCTTGTGGGCGGTATCGTGTGGGCAGCGCATATCGATATCAGATCTCGCGATGGTGGCTCCCGCGAAGTCCTCTTATCCGATGCTGTCAGTGGCTGAAGGGCTGCAGCACGTGATGGAGGCAGTCAAGAAGAGAGGCCCCGCCACGACTGACACCGTGGCCATCCAGTCGGCGTTCGGACGCACCCTGGTCACAAAGGAAGATCACAGACGGAGATGGCCGGATCACACTTTGCAGTGTGTGCAAGGGTCCGTTCTTCTGCTTGTGTGTGTGTGACAGGCGGAGGACGTGACGGCTCCGTTCCCCCATCCCGCATTCCCTGCATCCATCGTGGTGAGCCAACACGCACTCAGCGAACGACGTGAGCTGCTTATGTGTGATGGTGTCTGTCTGTGTGGGGTGGTCAATCCATCCATCCATCAGGACGGCTATGCACTTCACTTGGGAGGGAGTGGATCAGGTAGGCAAAGAGAGGGCTGGCCGCCTTCAGCACTGTCAAACGACTTGATCGTCTGATCCTTGGTTTGTGTCAGCAGCGTATTCCGTCGTCAGCGAGAGCTTTGCCGGCGCCGAGGGGATCGTTACGCTCAAGCCCGGTGAGAGAGAGGTGTGTCTGCGAGGGCAGCGCGAGATGGCCCATACCTCCCTGTGTCTGTCCGTGTTGTGCAGGCGAGGCATCTTACATCACGACGGGCGCGAAAGTGCCAGACGGCGCAACCGCTGTGGTGAGTGCAGTGCGAGATCCAATGCGGAAAGACCCCAGCCAGTTGCCCATCCTCCACGTGTGTGTATGGGTGTCAATCACTTCCCGCTCAGGTGCCTGTGGAGCAGTGCAGTGTGGACAAGCAGACGGTGACCATCCTGACCTGTGAGTGAGCAGAGGGCACTCATTTCTGTGTCTGTGGACTGACTGCGTGCCATGTGTACGCCTATGTGAATGGCCAGGCGATGTGAGTGCGGGTCAGAACATCCGCCCGGTGGGGTCTGACATCCCGCAGGGCACTGTCGTACTCAACAAGGGGCTCAAGATGGGAAGCGCTGAAATCGGTACGCAGTGGGATGTGTGTATGCTATGCTATGAGCTGCTCATCCTTGCTTGCCGTGTGCTGGTGTGCGTGCGGTGCGCCATGCAGGTGTGTGCTGCACTGTGGGTAAGGCCTCTGTGCTCGTCTACCGGCCTCCAAGGATCGCCATCCTCTCCACAGGTGGGTGGGTGGCTGGGGATGGCACACCACAAGGGTCACACGGCCATGAGTCCAGACCTGGGTGCTCCTTTCCTTTGCTCCCACAATAGGCAATGAGGTTGTTTCCATCGGCAACCAGGCATCGCTGCGCAGCGGGCAGATATTCGACAGCAACGGGCCCATGCTCAAGGCACAGGTGGAGGGCGATGGCGCAGTCGTGACGGAGCTCACGCACCTCAACGACGACAAGGTGGGCAAAGGAGGAAGGTTACGCATGGGAACGCACTCACGGTGTATGTGTTGGTCTGTCAGGGTGTGATCGGGGAGTATTTCCGGAAGCAGCAGGAGAGTGATGTGGACATCATCATCACGACCGGAGGAGTCAGGTGACTCACACAAACAGAACAGACAGAGAGTGTGCGAGCGAACGCAACAATCAATCGTGTGATGTGATGCCTGTGTCTGTCCAGCATGGGTCGGAGTGACTACGTCAAGCCCCTGCTCGAAGAGATGGGCCAAGTCATCTTCGGGAGACTCAACCTCAAACCAGGCAAACCAGCTGACAATGAATGGCACACACATCACACCACTGCACACCTATACATCTGCCATCCCCAATGACAGGCAAGCCGACGACGTACGGCCACCTGCCGTCCAAGGGGCGTCCAGAAAGCCCCATCCAGGTGTTCGCCCTGCCCGGCAACCCCGTGTCTGTGTGGGTGACGTACCACCTTTTTGTGGTGCCCGTGATGCGAGCCATGCAGGGAGGTGAGCAGAGGGGAGAGAAGAGATGCTATTCTCAGTGTCTCACTCACCTCATTCGTGTGTGTGTGTGTGTGTGTGTGATTTTGTGTTTCAGTGGATGTGGGTGCGGTAGGGTGGCCGTGTGTGGATGTCGAGGTGCAGCAGGACCTGCAGCTGGACAAGGAGCGACCCGAGTACCACCGCTGCGTCGTCTATGCGGAGGACACGGCACCATCATGGGGCAGACGGAAGCTCAAAGCCATCTCCACCGGACACCAGGTCCGCGCCCTCCGCAATGGTGACGCCCAACAGACGCCTTTGTTGTTCATCAGATCTCCAGTCGCCTGTTGAGCTCTGTGGGTGCGAACGGCCTACTGCAACTGCCGGCGCAGAAGGACACCAAGGGCAGCAAGATCCCCCGGGGCTCCACCATCTCGGCTTTGCTCATCGGTGCCATCGCCAGTGTGCCCCCGCCGATGGAGGTGCCGCCGGTGCCCTCAGGCCCCGTGTGCAAGTGCGGCATGGTTCACGAGGAAGGGACGCCACACGCACACCAGACCAACGGAACCAAGCCCAAGCCGACGGCGGCAGTGCATCCGAGTTTGGTTCATGCCGCTGTGAGTGAGAGAGATGACAAAGGAGATGGGCAGATGCGATGCGACGCAAGGCGGATATGGTTGCTCTGTTGATTGAAATCAGAGTGCTGGCGCGCCAATGCCCAAGGACGGTGCCGGATACTCGGCTGCAGTGCTGGTCTGCTCGGACCGCTGCAGCAGGGGGGAGGCAGAGGACAGATCAGGGGTGAGCTCAGCTGAGCTCGGCTCACACACACAAAAGAGAGAGCCCCATCTGTCTGTCGACGAGTCATGCATGTCTGCCTGCCTCCCTGTGTGTGCACGTGTGTGTGCAGCCCGTTGCTGTCGAGTACCTGAGCGAGCATGCGGGGTTCCCCCTGACGGTCCACGAGCTGGCCATCGTGCCGGACGAGATCGACGCCATACGCACACAAGTCAACAAATGGTACACACAGATGTCTGTCCGGGCGGGGATGGAGGGAGGAAGGCATTGGTCTGGTCGAGCCGTGATGTGTGTGTGTGTGTGTGTGTAGGGTGTCCGAGGGCATGCAGCTGATCGTCACATCGGGCGGCACCGGATTCGCCGTAAGTGAAGTGCCTGCACCCATTCTATATTTCATTCTGTGTGTTGCTGCGCTGATTGGTCAGCCCCGCGACCGCACCCCCGAGGCGTTGGAGCCGCTGTTTGACCGCCGATGCCATGGGCTCACGCACCAGATGATGGACGCAAGCCTCCAGGTACACACGGCCTACATCACTCACATCTCATCCATGTGTGTGCGTCGGAATGACGTGTGTGTATGCCTTTGGCGCAGGCGACGCCGACTGCAGGCCTCTCCCGGCTGACTGCAGGGATTATCAAACTCACGTATGTACGATAAGATCGCCAGCGGCAGCAGCAAACGATTGAAGGGACAGCCACCTGTTTGTTCTCTTCATGTCTGCCGTGTGCTGTGTTGGCTGCCCAGGTTGGTCCTGGCTCTTCCCGGTTCACCCAAAGCGGTAAGTGAGTGAGTTGAACAACACGCGGCACGTGGCAGGCCGTTTGTGTGGTGTGTGTGTCTGTGTGTCCTGTCTGCCTGTGTGTGTCAGGTGCGGGAGTGTCTGGACGCCGTCAAGGTGCCCCTGCCACATGCTCTGAGGCTCATCAACTCCTGAGTAGTGAGTCAAGGCGACAGAGAGCTTTTCTGTGAGTGGGAGTTTTTGCCACCTGTCCATCATGCCGGTGTTGGTGCATACGTATCAGTAGACAGGGAAAAAGGTGTGCGGTGTCCTCCGTGTGTGTGTTTGCGTGTTCGTGCACTCGAAAAGAGTCGGTGGACGAATCAGTGTCAAGTGTGTCGAAAGAGCAGCCCAGTGTGTGTGATTGTGGTGGTCAATGACACACGCAGGAATGGATGGATGGATGGATGGATAATGGACCAACAATCGCAGAATGACTAATAAGACACATACACGACTGAAATCGCATTGCTCACACACACACGAAGTGACACACACACACACACGAAGTGACATGGATGGCATGCTCGCGCGCGGCGGGCCCTTGACGGATGGCTGAGCAGATGGATGGCTGAACGGATGGCTGGCCTATAGGTCTACACACAGTGACTGAGTGATTGCGGAACGCCTACGTACTTAATGGTCTGTCTATCCCTATACAGACAGATAGATAGCAGGATGGCACTGCACTCCTTACTTCTTCCTTGCCTTGCCTTGCTGCCATCCTACGGGCTACACAAAACCCCACACACACACACGACACGACACACGTGCACTGCAGTGTGTATCAGCGACCTGTTTCAGCCAGCCTAGCCTGCAGTGAGTGCATGGATGTGTGTACGTGTGTGGGTGAGGAGGAGAGAGGCAAAAACCGCCTTATGCACACATCCGACATATACACCAAGATCGTTCGCTGTACGCAGTACGGAACGGTCGATTGGTCTATGATGTGATACAAATGAATGGATTGATAGATGGATGGATACTTACAAAATCCCCTCTGTCTGTCTTTCTTTCTTTCTTTCTTTCTTTCTGAAATGTAGGTGAGTGGTGCCCCCCGACCCCCCAACCCTCCCTCCCTCCGACTTACATACATAGATATCCATTTGTGTCACTCACATGACATGATACATGGTGGTGAAGTGACGTGACATGTGTGTATGAAAACGCGGCTATGCTATGCGTGTGCACACACCATCACCGCACACACAGCATACAACATAGCATAGACACTCACACACGTACACGCCACACATACCTACCTTACGTAAATTATGCAGCCAGCAACGAATAAATAACGCATCGCCCATCCCTCCGATCCACGATAGACACCCCCCACCCCACACCACCACCGATTCCCTTCCCACCGCAGAAACATTCATGTCACACGCGCCCTGGCCCGGCGGCCTTTATCCTTATCAGGTCTGGCTTCACCGGAGGAGAGGGCACCTTTGCCGGCGGCTGTAGCGCTGTCTCATTCTCCCACGCGCTGTCCCAGTAGATGGCTATTCCCTTCTCACCTACAAGGAAGGATAGGCCAGGCAACACGCAGTCAAAAACACAAAGAGGCGTCTGTCTGTCTGCATACAAATCGACCGCCTTTCATTTCACCCTCACCCTCACCAGGCGGGCACTCGGTCGTCACCGACGGCAGCACGTGGCAGAAGCGGCAGCACAGGTGGTTCAGGGCGTTGCACGTCTCCTCGGGCACATGTGTGGCATTTGTCCCATCGCCCGCACACGAGGGGTCGAACGTCAGCAGGCGGTAGTCCAGCAGCTGGTTGACCCCCACACAGGCGCTCGGCTGCTCGGAGGTGTCGCCACACACGTGTGAGAGGCGGACAGGGGGCAAGAGCTGCTGCGTTGGTTCTTCCTCTTTGGGCGGCGGCTTGATAACGATATCGGCGGGAGGGGTGACGCGGATGAGCCACTCCTGCGTGCGGGCGATGGGCAGCATGGCCATCCGGACCTTCTCGGCACACTCGTCAAAGGTCTTGGTGTTGCGCGGCAATACGTTCTCCGCAAACGCGCCCACTGATCCACACACACAGCAACAAGAGCTCAGCTCCACACATAGACCCGGCTTGCCTGCCTGGACGGTGAGCGAATGTGACGTACTTACGTGTGTTTGGTGTGGTCGAATCTTTGGTGTCGCTCCCCTTGTAGCGGCAGACGTACAAGACCGAAGACGGTGCCTACACAGACAGGTATGTAATGTGCGGGGGAGAGGGTAGGGTGTTTGCCGGAGGAAGAACGGTGCCCGTCAGGTCACACCTACCTTTGCACTGTTGTCGCCACACCCAATCTCTGTGGCGCCCTTCCACACCATCGCGGTGCTGCAGCCACATGACAGACAGTCAGGAAATGTAATTAATGGGGGGTGACAGACACTGTGTGGGACGGCGATGTTCTCAGACTCTCAAAACTCACAAGTGCCCGGCTCCTGAACGGAAGTCGTTGCTGCCCTCTGGCCAGAGGTCCACCTCATCGTACCACGCATCGATGGCCGAGTCGAAGTCCGTGAAGCCTGACACAAACACACACACACACACACACACACATCCTCTCTCATCGCCTTGACTGTTGGCCGTGCTCGTTTCTTGTACCCCACGCAAGGTTTTCCCCAGCCGGCCCCGCTGGTGGTGCGAGGTTATAGCTGTCCGAGTGCTCAAACACGCCCTTGTCTGCCCAGGCCTGGGCGCTGGTCGCCATCGCGCTGCTCCACGTCAGGGCAGGGGCGTCGTGACTGTTAAGAGCAGCCAGGCAAAGGCAGAGGCAGAAACCCGTGGCTGGCTGTGTGTGTGCTTAATTGTCCGTCTGCTTTGCTTTGCTTGCTTACAGGCATCTGTATGTGTTGTGGAGAGCCAGCACCGCCGCGACCTGCGTCGCACTGAGTGCCATGGCCGGCGCCGGGAGGGACAGAGGGAGAGGGAGAGAGGGAGGGAGAGGGAGAGAGGGAGGGAGGGAGAGGGAGAGGGAGACCAGGCAAGAAGAGAAGGAATGGCGGCCGGGAGGTGCTGTAGGGAAAAAGCGGAGTGTTCGTTGTTTCGTTGCCACCCACGCCGTTAAGGGTCGGCCCGAGCGACACGTTTCCATGAGGCGTGTAAACAGAGACGACAGGGCGACCTGATTGCTTGGGGTCAAAGTTGAGGAGAGAAGTTGCACGAGAATGTCACAACACAAACACACACACACACACACACACGACCGGACGCATCAAGGGTCCGATGCGCCCCACTACATACATAGTTAACGCACACCGCACGACACACACACACACACCGCCACGAATCGGGATGGGTGATGCAGGCAGGTCAGCGTAGACGAAGCCCATCCCACGGGGGGCTGAAGGGCTGGGGAGGTGAGATGAGCTGGCTGTCTGCGGGTTGCTAAGATACACACGGGAGGGAGAGAGATAAGGGAGTGAGTGACCCGCCTACCTGTCAGGAAGGCAGCCATGCAGGCAAGCAGGCAGGCAGGCAGGCAGGCAGGCAGGCAGGTGTGCTACCTATATCAACACCAACGCTCACGCGATGCGTGTGGAGGCGCGTGGGTGTGGTGCGTGTGCCACAAAATCGGATCGTCAGGCAAGACAAAGAGGAAAGGCCCAGAGGCGCGAAGCACGGAGTGATTTGATGAATGATGATGATGATGAACGGCTGGTAGGTCAGTCGGTCCATCATTCCATCATTCCATCCAGGCATCCAATGGAATGGGTGCACACACATTCTCCTCATCCCTCCGCCCTGACACGACGGTTGACACAGGGCAAGTGACGACCACTGTGACTGTTCCTTGGCAGCCGCAGTGACATCAACCGACCCTGGTGCGGCCGTGTGGTGCCAAGAAAAGGGAGAGAGAGAGACAGAGAGAGAGGAAACATGGCAACAACCGATTCATCAAGACAGTGTACCAGAGGGGGAGAGGGAGAGGAAGGGAGAGAAGAGAGAGACAGCAGACCAAAACCTCGCGAGCGCACTCCATATGCACCCTTCCATCCATCCATCCATCGATCGATCGACGTCCAATCAGAAAAGATCGGTCACACACATCATGCGGCCATGCGCATAAAAATGGCGTCGCTGCAGCCAAATGAATGAATGAATGAGTGAGCAAACCAGCCAACCGCACACACAGACACTCAGACAGACGGAGGACGGACAGTCATGGAACGAACAGCCAACTGCGATGACAAATTGCTCGCTCTCGCCCGCGCCATCATCCCACCCGACCAAACCACCCCACCACCACCATGGACGCGGTGGCCGGGCGGCCGTCTGGCTGTCTAGACACCCGCCCCGCCCCCCACCCATCCATCCCTCCCTCAGCCGCTCAGCGGTGAGTGAGAGGGTCAACGTCAACACACACAGCAGCAGGTTAGGTTGGCATGGCAGCGGGTGGGTGGCAAGGGAGGGAGGGAAGTGGTGTTGAAAAAGCGTCCGTCCATCACACATCACACGCGTGTATGTATGGATGGATGGATCGATGGATCGAGTATGATGGTATGGATGGTGAGGATGATCCCTGTACATGGTCTAACAAGACCCCAAAAACGCCCCTCTCCCTCCCTCCCACCTCCCTCCCTCCCGCCTCCCGCTTAAAACCATGATGCCAGTTTAGCGAGCGCGAGCACGACAATGACGAGAAAGACCACCTGCCAGAGCTCCCACCCCTTCTTGGGCTTGTTGCTGCTGAGCGTCTTGAGCTGCTCGCTCAGCGAGTCCCTCTCCTGCTCCAGCTTGGCCACCGTCTGCACCAGCTCGTCGTACCGCACCTTGAGCGAACGGCTGTCACCACCCACCCCCTGTGCGCTCGCCACCGACGCCTCGCTCGCACCCGGCCCGCCGTACACGGCCGCGTTTTCCGAGTACGACTCGGACGCACCCGCACCCGCACCGCCCTCCTTCCGGAACACCACGTCGAGGCGGTAGTCCTCGATGTTCTCCTTGGCCACATGGGTCCAGTCGTCGCGCGACAGTGGCATGTCGCTCTCAACTGCACCACACATCACAGAGAAGGGATATTTGTGTGAGTGTGGTGTTTTGAGCGTGTGACGGCAGTGCTTGTTGTGTGTGTGCCCACCTACCTCGTGTGGCCTGGACGAGGAACCGATCAGTGGAGGGCGGAGGATCCGCCGTCAGCGGCTGCAGAATGATCTGTTCATCCATCGACACACACACCAACCATACACAAAAGATCAGCCATCCCGAGACACGCAAACCGCGCCACGCAGCCGCCTCCCTGCCTCCCTCGTCAAGCCCCGCATCTGACTCCCCTCTCTGCCTGTCCATATCAGCACCCACCCACCTGAATCTCCTGTGTGCCCTTCTCCTTGAGCACGCCCGAGGAGGGCCGCACGAGGTAGTTTTTGGGCGCCGTAGTCTTGATCTTGTAGGCCACGATGGCATTGGATGCGTTCTCGAGGCGCAGGCTGGCAGTGACGGTGCTGTAGAGCTGCACCGGGAACTCTATCGTCTTCTCTGGCGACACCGACAGCAGCGGCATCGTCAACACCGAGGGCCAACCGGGTCGCAACCTACGCGTTTGGTTGTTTCCTCTACTCAAAAACACCTCGATCTGAGCTCGCAATGAGATGGCGCCGTAAGCTTTGAAATGGCGCCGTGACTTCTGGCGTGATTCTGTGCTTCACCAGACGAGTGGGAGCCCTCTGCACATCCGCGGCTTGAGATCTCTATCTCGCGAGGCGTTCCACCATGACGGCTTATCAGCTGCCTGCTGATCTTTGGCGGCAGCGAGTGCTGCCGTTCCTCACCATTATCGAGCTGCTAGCCCTCCGCAGCACCAGCAGCACCATTGGAGCCTCCATCGTCACGGCCATCCTGCTGCTGCATCGCATCGACGGCTCTCTCGCCCGGCACGCCCTCTTGGGACTCATCGATATGGACCGCACACACAAGGGCCCTCTGCTGTTCAGCTACCTGCTGCGAGTGGCCTATGTGTTGGACCAGGGCGGCAGGGAGTGGCGTGTGATGGGCACATTCATCCGTCTGGCCGTCATCCATGGTCTGACTCCCAACGGTACCGCGCCCCTGGTGCTGTCGGCTGAGTGGCTGGCCGCCCATCTGCCCACCAGCAGCGCCTTCCACCAGCTGCCTCTCATGTTGGCCATTTACCGCTTGTGCGGCCAGCAGCTCAGAGACGGGGCAGAGAGCCTGGCGCTGCAACCAGAGGCCCAGGAGGGACGGCATCGGATCGGTCAGTGCGTGATTCGTGTGGTGTCATTGGCTGACTTGCCTGTCGGCCACTCGTACCGTGACAGCTACAGCCCGACGGATCCCGCTATCTTCTATTCGGAGGGGCTCAGCCAGGGACTGTCATCACCCTCTTTCTCGTCGTTTCTGTTCCACGGGGTGTGCCGCTTGTGGGGTCAGGGGTGGCGTCTGAGGGCCCTGCTATGGTTACAGATGGCCCGGCGAGACGACCACTGCTCGCGAGCCCTGCGGACTGCAAACATCGACCCGGCTGACGGCATGGTGGTGGACTACTGCACGGGCAATATCGGTAATTATCTATGGCGCGAGGTGATCGTGAGTGGCTTCCGGCCAGGCGAGACCGTCGCTGCCCACTTGACGGTTTCCCGCTACCACGTCATGCTGTTCACAACAGAGTCTGCCACCACCGACAACACCCACTCGCTCGACAGCCGGTTCCCCGTGTCGATGCCACGGCTCCGTGCTGTGCTGCGGCACTGCGGTGTGGAGCAGCAGGTCATCAGCAGAGGGGAGGTCCGGGTGTGACTGACCCACACACACCAGCCGTCACGACCTGAGTGAGTGAGGCGTTGGGAACGAGTAGACAGTAATTAGAGAGATGTCAATGAGGGCGTTAGGCAGTGATTGGTTAGGTGTGGCATCCATCCTTTGTGTGTGTGTGCTCTCTTGTGTCTGACTGAGAGTGGAGAGGGGGTGGAGGTGGGCAGGTGGTGGTGTGTCATCGTGACTGACTGATGGACAGGGTTTAGGCTTTAGGAATCATGATCACGCTGTGTGTACCTGAGTGCTTTGATAAAGTCAATCAATGAAATAACGGTCTCTGTGAAACTATCACACGTCGTCTAGTGGCCCCCCCCCCACACACATGCACCCGGCTGGCTGACCCCATGAAGGACACTCACACCACCTCACACCACACTCGACTGATTGCGGGAAACAGTGCCCGCCTCTCGCTGCGGCTTTCTGTACAATTGCTCGAGAGGCGCGCAGTTGATCCAGGCAACCAACAGCCACAGATAGATAACAAAGCACATACAGCAGACACACACACAGATCGACAGACAAGTCAAACAGACACAACAAGGGCTGCAGGCAGGTAGGCAGGCCCGCGTACACATCACGAATGAACGAACGAATGAACGAACGAATGACCCAGCCCACACCCATACAAAGATTTCTCACACGCTTCGGGCGTCGGCAGTGTAGAGCTGCTGCCGTTCAGACCGGATCGCCGAGAGCTGATTCTGCTGCTCCTGCCTGTGGCACTCGCGAAGAAGGAAGTCCCTCCCCGACAAAGTCATCAACGTCATGCGGGATCTCCTGGCGGTGGTGGGTGGAGTCCCATCTGACGATGATGACGAGCGTGTGCTGGCGTCGGTGGGGCAGGGTGAGGGGGAGCGGTCGTGTGGATGCTCCTCGCCCTCCTCCTCAGGCAGCAGCCGCAGCAGCATCGTGTGCGCGAGCCAGATGCGGTCCAGGGCAAGCGCGTCCTTGACCCAGCGGCCGTCAATGGCCATCTCCTCCTGTCCGTCGTCGTTAATGCGTCGTGTCCAGCCGACTGCTTCGAGCAGCTGACATGCGGCCAGGTGCCGCATGATGGTCTCCTGGATCTTGGGATTGCTGGTCTGCAGACACCACACACAGACACACACCGGGTGTGCTCTACAGCTGCTGTCAGGTGTGTGTGTGGGTGTGTGTGTGTGTGTACCTTGAAGGAGCGATACTTCTTGCTTCTTGGATGCTTGAGCAGGTTCCCGTGAAGCCGGGCGAGAGTTGCAGCGCACTCCTGTCGCTCCTCAAGCAAAGCGATGGTGTTGAGCGCAGTGGCAGCTCGGCTGATCTGCACCTCCATCGCCTCAATCGCATCTTCCGGCTCGGTCTGATACACAGCAGCGACGTCCATATGTGGCTGCGTGTCGCCCTGGATGAGCTCTGCAGGATCCATGAGGCTGAACGAGTTGTTGTGTGACAGCTGTTGGAGGCAGTGAACGAGGGCAGAGATCTGTGGCTTGTCGTGCGAAGGGGTGCTGCGACAGGGATCGACAGACGGAATGCAGGGAGGGAGGAGGGGGGAGGAGGGAGGGGAGAGGTCGCCCCTCCCCTCCCGAAACCCTGAGCCCTAAACCCTGCACCCTGCCGAGGTGCAGCTGAGCACGGTACTGACCAGGCTGTTTGACTGACACAGATAGACATCGGTTCTTTTGTCTTGGTCTCAGCACAGCCCATCCACAGCCCACCCATCGCGCGGCATGGTTGCACCCATAGCGCGAGAGGCGTGGGCTGTGGACAGCCAATGCATGGACCAGGACAAGGGAACGATCACAATGTCGGACGACTCATAGTACGCACAGGCTGTCTGATCCACACAAGGAGCACTCCCGCTCAATCTCCCCCTAGTATCTTTGTCAAGCCACCCCCCCGCCACCCCCGCTGCCCCCTGGATCATTCCTGTCGTCGTCGTATCTCTCGTACCGCTGCACACCATAGTGCGCACCCCACGACTGAAGCTGTGACGTAGCCGCCTCCTGGCAACGCACTCGGACAGCACGACTGCTCGACATCTGGCCAATCACACGCGGCACAGGGAAAACAGACACGGAGTGAGAGTTCCGTTCGTTCGATGTGCGTCTTGTTGTCGCGTACTGACTCACTGACTCACCGGGTCGACATAGCAGAAGAGGGTGCCTGGCTCCAGGAAGGTGTGCCCGCCGTCCACGCTCACTTGGAGGGACACAACGCCGGCAGGGTGTGGGGGTGCGATGCAGCGGATCTGGTGCCGCGACTGAAATGTGGCCGGCACCACAATGCGGCCAAAGCGGCACGACAAATAGCGGCTGTTGACGAAATAGTCGCCAAACACATTGATCACACGGCCACCTGCACACATTGACACACACGATGAGCAGCCATCTGATCTGTGACTGTCTTGTGGTGTGTTCTCACCTTCTGTTAGACATTGTGCAGGCACTGGCTGCAGCTCCACTTGCGTGTCTGTCCACTTGAGCTGGACCACACAGTTGAGGATGCTCCCGTCGCCCAGTGAGTGATCGCTGAGGCGGACAGACTCCTCATCTTCGACCGACAATGCCCTCCCGCACACGACGAAGGTGAAGTCGGCCTTGCCATCGTTGATCTGCTGCAGCACCCACGCGTGGCTCTCCTCCATCCCCTCCAGGCCCCTCACGCCCACTGCACCGCTGCCCCGCCTGGCGAGATCAGCATTCTCGTCGTCCGGCAGCCGCTCAGACAAGGAGCGATTGAACCGGCGGCCGCCATGGAGCCGACCAGAAGACGAGGATGAAGAAGCCCCGGATTCCTCAGTGTCGTCGTCATCGGAAGATCCAGTTTGTGCCGCATTCCTTCCTCGCCAAAGTGTGCCATACTCCTTGAGTTTGAGCTTGACGAGCTGCCTACACTGCTTGAAGGTGCACGTGGGCCGCACGAGCAGGGGGAGGCCCGGGAGGGGAGCAGAGGGGCGGGAGGAGGATGCTGCTGAAGGGCTGCTGTCGTCAGTGTGAGAGTCGCGTGACGTGGCTGGGCTCTGAGTGGTGTCTGCGGTTGGCGAGAGCGGCTCTAGGGAGCCGAACGAAATGGATCCCTCGAAGGGCAGTGTCGCGTTGAAGAACACACGGATCATGCTTGTCTGCGCCCTCAGCCTTTCTGGCGATCCACACCTTCAAGCTCGCACAACAAGAAGAGCGGAGCGGAAGGGATCTGGACGACAGAAGCCGTGTATGTGACGACACTCTCGTCAGCTGGAAGATTCACCGATTAGTTGCGACTTTCAAGCGATTTCCGTCGCCTGTGGTCATCGGGCATCGCTGCATTCGCCCCCTTCCGCCGCTTCAACGGCGGTTTGTGATGATGGACGACTTCCAGGCCCGCAAGCGTCGGATCATGGAGGGCATCTCATCCCTGTGCAGCACGGATGATGACGCGGTAAGCAGACGTCAAAGTGCAGCTTCAAAGGGGCAGCTTCATGCTTCCTACTCGTTCCTACGTGCGCCTGCCTGTCTGTGTGTGTGTGTGTGTGTGTGTGTGTATGTGTGTGTCTGTTTGTAGCACGGCGAGAGGAAAGAGGACAGGTCTCTGAAGGGCAGCATCGACGAAGATCTGCGGGACACAGTGGACGCCGTCAATGCCCATCCCTCGTTCGTCACCACCAGCTGCTGCTCAGGCCGAATCGTCCTCTATCTCGAGGGCGATGCCAATCGCAAGAAGGGCGGCAAGCTACTCTTCGTCAGCCACTCACCCATCGGCGTGACGGAGGATAGCAGTGGCGACGGTACTGAATCATTCGGCTCTCTTACGCACGCCCTCAAGCAGAGGGAGGCCTTCTACGAGGCGCCAAAGGACGACTCCGGGCCCCAGACGCCACCATTGCCATCAGCAGCCGACGGCCACCGGCTGATCTACTTCAAGCTGGAGCCGCTGATTCTCCACATCGAGTGCCACAGCCTCTCGGCGGCCAAGACGCTGCTCGACGTGGCTCACCACTGCGGCCTGAAGCAGTCGGGCGCCAACTCGTTCGCAAAGCGCAAGGTCATCGCCGTCCGCGGCGCTCTGCGGCTGGACGTGCCAGTGGCCACGTGTGAGCACATGCTGGTGACCTCCGAGTATCTGCGTCAGCTTGTGGGCATTGCCAATGAGAAGATGGAGCAGAACAGGGCTCAGATTGACCGCTTCCTGGCGACTTTTCGGCGAGTGGTGGGGGAGAAGGAGCTCCCTGATGAGGATGGGGAGAGGCGGCCGCGTAATGGTGGGAAGAGGGCTGAGGGAATGGACCAGCCGCTGTTGACCTGGACGCACATCGGCCAACAGGTGAGTGAATGGACACTGAGAGAGAGAGAGAGAGAGAGAGAGAGTTGGTACATTGCCATCTGCAGACACTGCTTGCTATCCTCCTGCAGGGGCTGGATGATGCCTCCCATTTGCAGCTGTGGGGTGCGGCCGTCGCCTTCGCAGACCCCTTCCTGTGTGTGTTCGGGGGCTTCGGGGGCCCCGGGCAGCTGGCAAGGCAGAGGGCTCTGCTGATATATGACGCCAGGAAGGGTACCTGGAGGAACGCCACGGCAGCTGAAAACCACGCAGGTCGGCCGCAAGAAGAAAGACAGCACGGACATGAGCCAAGCCCACTCTCTCTGTTTCAGGTCCGTGTGCCCGTGTGCATGCGACGTTCGTGCCCTGCCCGCCCCACGGCCTTCTTCTGTTCGGCGGACGAACCTCCCCATCCACGCCGCTCAATGACTTGTGGCTGCTCGACACCCGCGCGGCCACATGGACACCGATGATCTCTTCCACCCCGCCCCCGGCTCGATACAGATATGCAATGTGTCAGGTCGGCAGCAGCGGCAAGAATGAGTACGTCCTGAGTGGGGGAGTTGGGAGCGACGGACGGGTGCTGGGCGACGTGTGGAGGCTGCGGGTGGATGGCACTGAGGCGGCATGGGAGGAGATCGTCACGCCTGCCGATGACGAGTGTGGCGGCCCGGGCGCTGTCCACTCCCACACGTTGGCCTTTGACGAGTCCACCAACCGCGTCATGCTCTTTGGGGGTATCGATGGGTACCAGTCCATTCGGCGGTGCCGTCAGCCCTTCCCACTGCACACCCTACCGGCCCTCGACCTTGCCACACACACGTGGGCGCATACGCCCACACAGGCGAGCGGCGACCAGGCGACAGGCAGCTTCCCGTGTGGCCGCTTCAGCCACTGCTCGACGGTGACGAGAAGCGGCGATGTGATTGTGGTGGGTGGGTGCGGCGGACACTCAGCGCTCAATGACGTGTGGCTCTACAAGGTCAGCCACAGCCAACAACCACGCGCACACATCCACGCGCAGTGTTACTGTTGTCTGTGCAGGTGTGCGGGTCATCGTGGCACCATCTCGGCCACCTCCCCGGCGCCGCCAACATGTGTGTGCGCGCGTCGTGTGCGTGGGGGTCGAATAAGCTGTATGTCGTGGGCGGCGGTGCGGTGTGCTTCACGTTTGGGTCGCATTTCGACGGACCTCTGTCTTGTTACGTGAAGTTCAAGGGTCTGGGGCAGACGAGGGCAGAGAGAGAAAAGGCCGAGAGGAAGAGGCTAGAGCGAGAGGAGGGCAAGTGAGGGCGTGTTGGTGGGTGAAAGTGCATGTGTGTGAATCGCTTCTGAATCAATGGACGGAGCAAAAGTCCTGAGAATGTGGCGGATGGGGCGAATGGGTGGCCGCCGGCTCCATATGGCTGAGCAGATTCACTCTCTGTGTGCACAGATGCGGTGGTTGTCGACCAAAATTGAGACACGCAGACATGAAAGGTCAATCCATCTGTCAGTCCGTGCAATGCAATGCATGCACGCGAATCGGTCTGTCGTGTGTGTACAAGGCTGTGTCCTTCGTTGCTGCTGCTGCTGCCACACTGGCTCCTGCTCGCTCGCTCACTCATCAGCCCGACTTCACCTGAAAAACACAAGCAGACGTCCATTGAATTATCTGCTGCTTCATTCATCCATCCATCTTGCCCAGTGCCGCCCACCCACCTGATAGATAGCGATCTCCTTCGCGGTGAAATCCCATGTGCCCGCCAGTGTGCCCTCGTCGCCGTCGTCGTTGAGTTGGCCGAGGTAGCCGTCCATGGGCAGGTGCTCCTTCTTAACCCACTGATTCATGCTGCGCACGTCGTCTGCCGGGAAGGGGCTGGCCCAGCCAAACCACAAATACCCACGGCCAATGGCCAACTACACACAGGACAGGTGACAGCCAGTCAGTTGGTTCAGTGCCATTCACTGCACTGACACCCATTGTGTATACCCGCCACCCACCTTGCCGCGGTAGTCAATATTGCTGGCCTTGATGGAGGCGTCGCGGCCAGCGACCGCCGCCCTCTGTTTGGCCTCTGGGATGGGAATCTTAGTGATCTTGGCGTATGCACCGCTGATGGAAATGAAGGAGGTCGGCACCTTGTAGCTGCCGCTGGTCCGTGTGGGGTCGGCGGGCGACTTGAGTTGGCCCCCGACGAAGGCTCCGAATCGGTGTGTGTCGTTGTGGTTGATGAGGAACAGCAGACCGCTCGCGTCGCCCACCTTGTCCACCATCGTGCCGAAGTGACCACCATCACGCGTCGAACTGACAGGAGAGCAGAGGGGAGTGGGGGTGGGAGTGACTTTGCGAGAGATTAGCTTGACCGTCTTTAGTTACCTGTAGAGGAGTTTGATAGAGGGGTTGGGTATCTCCGTCATGGCCAGCACCTCCTGCGTCTCCTCGAAGGTGAGGAAGGGGGCCGGGGGCCGATACACGTCCCCCATCGTGAGGCCATACATCTCCACATCCTTCTGCACACACACACACACACACACACACAATTGCACATGGCGGCTTGCACCCGTGCTCAAGGGACCTTCAACTGAGCGAGTTGCTTGGGCTTGGCCGTGGGCTTCTTGACCACACGACCCGGTCGGGTCTCGAATCGCTGTCTACGGGCAAAATCCACCACCTTCACTACAGACAAAGGACATCGGCCAAGTGATACAGACAAGTCCTTTTCCCCTCGCGCGCGCGCACGCGCGTGACTGTGTGTCACCTTCATGAAGTGCTCAACGGATGTCTGCCGGATGGGTGCATTCCCCTGCACCACCTCGCCACTGCACACCTCGCGCCCAAAAGGAAAGGCAACACAATGCGTCCATCCAGCCGCAATGCGTGTGCGGTGCAGTGCCTTAAGCTGACCTGAATCGTCTGTAGAGGAGGCTGTTGGGTCCCAGCCGCGCTAGCGTCGCCTCGGTGGTCGACACCGTCTGCTGGGAGATGGTGACGCTCCTGACGGTGTGGTTGCTGCCGTCGTCTGCCCGGAGGAATGGCCCCATGACCGCACCGAATCCCTCCAAATCCACCACCGCTTTCTCCAACACCGTCACCGCATCGGTGTAGTTGGCCACATACTCACGCAGCCGACTGCCCGCCCCGCTGCTATCCCCTGCCCGCTCCCCATCGCCCCCCTCCTTCTCTCCCCCCTCCTTATTGCCTTCCGCCGCCCCTCTGTCGTCCATGTCGACGTCCTCCGTGCGCACGTCGATGTCGAGCGATGCCCTGGTGAGGAACAGCTCGTGGTACAAGGCGACGGTGGGGTCCTCCTTCTGTGTGTCGTCCAACTCGATCTCATACTCCTCGCCCTGGGCGTCAGCGCCCTCAACGAGGTAAATCTGGTCCACCAACCTGAGGAGCACAAACGAACAACGCACACAATGAACACAATCCAAACGAAACGCATTCCCGCTCGGCCTACCACTTGACATATCCGGGGTCAGCGTCAAGGAAGGGCCGGCCCTCCTCATCGCGGGGCAGGGCGTCGACACAGGAGAGCAGCAGATGGGCGAAGTAGGTGTGGCGGAGCTGATCCAGCATCAGCCCCTTGCGCGACACACCCACCACCTTCCCGCCCACATTGAGAGCCACCTCCCCCTCGATGCTGCCCTTTAGCTCCAGCTTGCCTCCCGTGGTCTCAATCTGCTCTTTGATGGCCTCGGCTTTGCTCTGCAGCTGCTGGATGGCGGCCGTGGCGGCGGTTTTGATGGCCTGGAGGGCGGCGATAGCCGATGCGAGGGGCCTGTCGAGCGATTGGCGGCCGATACGGGGAGCGGGGTGGTGCTGGTCATCGTCATCTTGCTGCCCGGCTGCCGCCGCCGCAGCAGCAACACCATCATTCACTTTGCGCTTCTTGCCGAGCATTTTGCGATGGATGAATGCGTGAGTCAACGGTACAAGCTAATCGCCACACACGAAGGACGCCTCGCGGCTAGATTCATGAGTTGTTTCCTGCCGCCTCTCAAAATGCGAGCTTAGAAAGTGCTTCGGAAGCTAAGTGACCTCCTCCTCCCTTCTCTCTCCGACCTCACTGGCGGTAGATCTCTGCTGAACAGCCCTGCTGAATCGTGGTTCTTCGCCCACCGAGATCAATCACTACGACCGTTTTGACATTGGCCGGCGTCATCCGGCTTGAGCGACGACGCACGACAGTCGACGACACAGCCAACAACGCAGCAGCAACAAGAGTGACGATGGCGACCCAAGCCACCCATCTCGGTTAACCGCCTTCATCCGCTGATGCCGCTGCTCTATGTTCATCCCGGGCTGAGGCTGCCTGCGTCGTTCCAGCCATGCAGAATCCCACAGCGGCTCATTAGCCATCTGCAGCAGCCTCAGTAGCGGTGATGGACATCGACCAGGAGGGCCACTCTCCTGGTGGCGTGCGCCAGGACAGTGCGGCAGGCGGGGCGGAGGGCCACCGTGGGGCTTGTGATGGAGGCGCTGCAGCTGGAGGCCCATCGGCTGCCGCTTCGACGCCCACCGTCCCCCATCCACAGTCAATGTCAGCGGCCGCCACATACCCCTCCCCCTCCCCACCTCACTCGAACGGCCCTCCCTCCCAGCAAGATGGTCTTCTTGTACAACTGCGGCAGCTGCTGTAGAAGCGAGGCGACCCCACCAGGACGACCGGCTACCATCCGGCCTATCAAGAAGTGCAGTCCTCTGTGCGTCGCGTCGATGGCGCAAAGGGCGGCGCGTATGAGGTGCTCGCAGGGCCCTTCTACGACAGCCAGGGGGAGCTGTTCGCCGCCGAGTGGGGCGTGAC